TCGGCTTATATAATACTTATTCTAATATAATTAATTTAATAAGCCCGGTTTTTTAAAAAAATATAAGTATTAAATAGTATAAGTCTCGGAAGTGCGGTTATTAATAATAAGTAATTATAAAAGTATAAAAAGAGGGTAAGTAATTATTATATTATTATTTAGACCCTTAGTATAATTAATATAACTACGGCCCTAGCCTCGGAGTATCTATATACTTTTTTTATTATAAACTTACCTAGCTAGTTAAGGATATTATTAAGATTATAAACTAACGGGTTAGGATTTAGGTACGTAACGTATATACTATTATTTAAAAATAATTTTTAAAAGCTTTATTTACTTAGTAAAATATTTATAATATTAAAGCCCGTATTAACTAAGAAAAATTAAATAAATATTTATTAATAGCGGCGCTAATTAAGCTATTTAATAAACAAGGGATCTTATATATCGTTAAATAAGTAGCTAATAAGCTTAATTACTTAATTAAGCTTATTTAAACTTTTCCTTATTATTTTTAAATATAAAAGCGGTTCTTTAAAATAATTAGCTTTAATAATATATATAATATTAATCGTTTTAAGCTCCCTCTTTTTTAAGTTACTAAGTAGACCTATTTTAGGTCTATTTATAATATAATATTTAATCTTATTAATAACGAGAGATTAAAAAAGTTTTAGTTCCTCTTAATAAGTATCCGTTAACTAATTAAGTAATATTTAATCCGCTAGCCTTTTATTATTATTACTAACTATAATAAATAAATAAAAACTATACTTAATAAGTAGTTTCCTAAAGTTTAGTAATAATTCTATATTTACTATATTAACTTTAACGTTATACTTAAAGTTAAATAAAAATAAATTAAAGACCCTAGTTATAATAATAATAATAATAGGTCTAACGATAATAATTATTAGTTAATTATATAAATAATAGCCGAGCTTAGTAATAAAGACCGCGCTTATATTAATATAATAATAAATTAAGCTATTTTATATACTTATTACGGGGTATTAATTATATAAAAGCTTATTATTTTTATTAAAACGGAGTATATTTTTAAAAAAGCCTAGACTAAGTTTTATAAAGAGTTTAATAACTAACGCCTAATCTTTTAATACCTTTACATAATATACTTATTTTTAAGAGCATAATAGGCCCGTTACTTTATTTAAAAATACTAAAACTTTAGTACTCGTATTACTTTTAATACTAAGTTAAGTAATAATAATATTAAGGGTTATTTTTTAAATAGTCTTAGTTACTTATATTAGCTTATTAACGTTATATAGGATATAATTAGTAATTAAGAATTATACTTTTACTAAGCTTATATAAAAAACGAGGTATTTATAAGCTAGGAGTATATAAAAACTTATTTTAAGTACTTAGGTAAACTTTAAATAATACTTTTTTTAAAATATTTTACCTTAATTAGGATATAAAGCCGGCTTATAAAAAAAATAATACCGTTTAGTAAGAGGCTATTCCTAAACTCCTTCGGATTTTATAATCTAAATTATATTATTTTAATTAAGCTAAGTATTTTATATTATTATAAGATCTATTTTAAAATATTAAATTTAGCTATTTTTAATAAGTAAGAGGTATACCCTTAGTAACGTTTTTAAAAAACGTCTTTTTTAAATTTATATTACTAAATTTTTAACTTTAAGATTATTATATCCCTCTATAATAAGCTAAAGAATATAGTATAGCCTATTTTATTATAACTAGCTTTATTTAAAAAAGGCTAATTAGCTAGTTAAGCCTATATTATTTATAATAGCTAAAGCGCTAATAATAAGAAGCGAGGCTGCTTATTTAAAAATAAAAATAAGTTAACGCTAGCTAAGCTTATAAAAAAAATAAGTTAGCTAAGTTAAAACTAAATATCGAGCTTATCTTAGTAATAAATAAAAAGCTAATTTAGCGTTCTTAATAAAAAGGGGATAATAGGGAATTATATAAATAAACGGCTAATATAGATTAGTATTTAAAAAAAACGGAGCTAATAAAAAGTAGTTTATAATAATAATAAATTATTATAATTACGTTAAAAAAAGTAATTAAGTAGACGTTACTATAATTTATTTTTTATATATTTTAAATATATAGTAAAAAGAAGCCTTACTTATTTAAGATTTATAAAAGCTTATATTATTAATTTATCTAAGATTTATAAATTTTAGATAGGTAATATAGTAGTTCTAAACGAGTACGTAGGTTATAATAATATTTTTATTTTTAAAAATCTTAAATTAGAGCTTAGGTAAGAGAGAATAGTAAAAATAGTTATATTAATATAGTTACCCTTACCGCTTTTATAAAGAGGTACTATTTTTTTAAACTAATTAAAAAGTAGAATAGCGATATTAATATAAAGTATATACCTCTATATTAATTCTATATACCTCTCTATTAATTACCTATTCTAAATTATAAAATTAAATAGAATATTATTATAATATAATATTATTCTTAATCTATAAAAATTAACTATACTTAAAAAAAAAGTTAGTTAAATATATCCTCGATTTAGATTTTTAATCCTTTTTTTTAATAATATAAAAAATATAGCTAATTAATTATTTATTAATTACGACGCGTCCCTTATTAAAAGTAAAAGACTTTTAACTTTATTAGGTACTAACTTTAACTCAGGATATACTTTATTTATAAATATAATTATAAAAAAGCTTAATATAAAAATCTAAATATTATAAATACATAGTTTTACTTGATAATAAATATAATTATAAAATACGGTATTATAAAGTTTAATATTTATAACTTTAATAAAACTAGTTTTATAATACGCTAAATTATATAATAGTTTTTTTCCGGCTTTATAAGTATAAAAAATTGACTTTAATAAGATTACGCTTTTAAAAAAAATTATATAGTATAGTATACTTTTTAATTATATAATACGTATAATATACCCTAAGTACGCGCTTAATATAATATAGTAATTTTAATATATAGTAGTTTTTTTTTCGGCTTTATAAGTATAAAAGATCGACCTTAACGGGCTTATATTTTCAAAAAAAAAAATCATACGATATAATATACTTTTTAACTATATAATACGCATAATATATTCTAAATACATACTTAATATAATATAATAATTTTAATATAAAAACTACTATTTAATTTAAAATAAGTAAGCTACCCTTTTTAACTACTTATTAATAATAAGCTAAGTAATATACTTATATAGTAGCGCTAGTTAAAAAGATTAATAATAAAAATCGGCGATAATAATTAGCTATAATAATTAGCTATAATAATTAGCTATAATAATTAAAAGCGGCCTTTTTTAACTATAGAGGTTCTAAACTTTAATAATAATATAAAAGTTTTTAAAAAAAGAGCTAAATAGTTTAATATTTATTACTCTTCGTACTAAAGCTCGTAAAGATTCTTCTTATTTTTATTATTTTTAATATTACTTAAAACTACTCTCTATTTAAACTAAATAAATTTGCTAAATAAACTTATTCTAGCACGTATAGCTATAATAAGGTACGGGATATTCTTATAAAAGAATATAAAAAGTAAATATTCATATAGAAGCAATAATATATGAATATAGGGGTAATAAGCGTATATAAAAGAGGTTTTTATAGTAAAGAGAGTAATATAGTTAAATTACTATATGAGAAGTTGCTTGCTTAACGAAAGGTCTAGGTAAGTAAATATATGCCTATATATAGGCATAAAAACCTCTTACTAGAATATTCCATTGCTTATTAATTATAAAATAATTAATAAGCGCATACGTAAGTGAATGCGTAATCGTAGTACATAATTCTGTCTCGAGAGGATTCCAGCTTATTCCGTTTCTTTCTAGTACTTTCCATCGCTCACGTAAGCTTATATAAGCAGTATTGCTTACATAATCAATACCTATAATAATCTACGAAAAACGTAGATTATTATAGTATATATATTGCTTACGTAATATTGATAATAAGGCGAATAATAAGGTAAACAAAGTTACCTTCGTAACAAATAGTAATAGTAATAGTAATAATAATAGTAATAATAAGGGAAGCGTTTTTAATTTTAATAAAAAAAACGAAGTAACGAATATATATATATATACGAGTTAAAGTTAAAAATCTAATAAATATTAATAAAATTAATATTATTCTTAATAATAACGACGAGGGCATTTTAAATACTATACTATTATAAATTATTATTATTTAGAAGGATAGCTAATTTAGCTAAGTGCGTAATAAGCTTATAAGGTTGTAGTATTAGGCGTCTAATATTACTATTAATAATCCGTAGTTATAACCTTTATAAAAGGGAAACTTAAAAAAGTAGAAAATTTAAAAAAAAATAGTCTATTGAGATAGTAAGAGTATTTATAATACTACATATTAATATTATATAAATGATATTGAGAACTGCCCGAGTAGTTAGTAAAAGCAAAATATATATATAAATACTTTTATATATATTTAGCTTTTATATATTTAATAATTAATTATTAATAAACGTTTTATTTATAATAAATAGGGTCCTTAAGGTATTAATAAAGTAATCTATTTATAAAAGTAGTTTATTTTAATAATATTCTTTATTTAGCCGTTTTTATAAATATTAGTATTTAAATAGAATTATAAAAAATTAGGCTATAAGTACTTAACTAGCGAGGTTATAATATAAGTATTAATATAATCTAAGACTAAAACTTATAAAGTTTTTTTTAATAAGGGCTCTGTTCTATAAAAAGTTTTTATAAAGTGCGATCCGTGTGCTAGTTGCTGACTTATTAGCGACCTGTCGCTGGGCGCATCCCGAATCCGTTATATATTAACAAGCTAGAGCAAGTGACTTCCCTTTTACTTTTAAGGCCGAAAGCTTTTTCTCGTAGCGTGCTTAAAGGAAATAAAGTCACAGGATCTATTCTCTATAGCCCTCCAGGCACGGGCAAAAGCATGCTGGCTAGAGGTATGGCGAAACAATCAAAATTCAACATGCTACTTATCTCAACTTCCGAGGTCTGGCAGAAGTGCCATGGAGAAGATGGAAAGATGATCAAGGCTATCTTCTCTCTGGCTCGAAAACTATACCCCTGCATCGTTCTCGTTGATGAAGCTGATGCAATGCTTAGTGCGCGCAAAGCTGGCGAGAAGAGACATATCAGGTCGATGCTGAATCAGTTTCTCATGGAGTGGGACGGCTTGATTACGGACACAAGAGCTCCCTTCGTTTTACTTGCTACAAATACGCCGTTCGACTTGGACCCAGCCGTTCCTCGACGAGCACCTGTGCAAATACATCTCAACATTCCCACGCAGGACGAGCGAACCGGGATACTTGGCTTGTTGCTCGAGGATGAAACGCTGCAGCACATCAACACAGATCATATCGCCAAGTTAACCCCGAACTACACTGGGTCAGATCTTAAGAATCTCTGCGTCATGGCTGCTACCAACTGTGTGAGCTCACAATTGAGCGATACGACCGAACGTATCTTGACGAGAGAACACTTCTACACGGCAATCCAGACTATCAGCGCGACCAACATAGGCAGAGTGAGTGCGAACGAATTCAAAAGATTCGAGGAACGACTGCAGGGGAATGGCGAGGGCCCAGCGAGAGATGCGGACGAAGACTAGTGTACATTATAGCTGCGCCTGGGAACTTGAATGATCTCTCTGTTTATTCGGAATAGCTAGCGATATTAGGTTGTTGTTTAGTGCTGGAAAATGACATTGAGAAGGTACAAGAGAGCTCATAAGTATGATATATACCTAGGAAATAGTGGCCGCGAAAGGCGTTACATGTATTGGATACTTCCCTGTGAGTGCCAGCCATGCTAAATGCCAGGCCAGGCCAATTAGGTGCTAGCAAGTGGTATCCCATCATCTGCTAAATGGGTATCAAAATACACCTACGTACTTTCTCGAAAGATCGTAATAATTTATACATTAACCCGAAACTGTTCCCTTTGTATTCGCTCATGAATAATTTTGAAGTGAAGTGGAAGTTACAGAAAGACTGTAGAGTGTAGACAGATATACTACCCCCTAAAAGGTAGCATTTGATGGGATAGGAGACTGAAGGCAAAACAAAGGTACGTACCCAATGTCTCTCGCGTATTCGGAAGTTGAATAATCCGCGACAGACATGCCTCCAGCCGTGCACGGACTTGGAGTGTACCAATCTGGCCAGCGCATCTGTCAGTTGGACGTTGGAAGCCCCGCCACCCCCATCGCAGCTGCCCCCAAGGTCCCTAGCGGCAGGGAGCTCACAGAGCTAAACCGAACATCACATCAGGTCGCGACTCCCCTTGCCTGCGCGACCCGCAACCTCATCACAAGCATGCGCAACTGTACTTCGCAACACGCCCAACAGCCACCATCGTTTTTCCGGTGTCAAATGCATCCATAGTGATTGATGCGCCGCTTTTCAGGCCGACGGAATATACTCTCATTGCACCCCTTCCGACGAAATGGCCTCTACCGAGGAGGGCGCAGACGCCATGGACATTGAGGTGTCGCCCAAAAACAGGACCTCGGTCGAACACGATATACATCAGTCGCTCGGTTCCATCAGCAACTCCGTCGAGTCACTCGAGATGCGCGCCGATCCAGACGCGCAAGCTACCGTCACCGACTTCCTCGACTTTACCGAATACCTTCCTTCTGATATGACGCGATCATTAACTCTGATCGGCAAGCTCGACCAAACATACACCGAAGCGTCAATCAACGTTCACAACCTCACCTCGACCTGGGGAAAGCTACCTAGCATTCCCGCTGAGGAGCGTCCATCTCCCGTACAGTTGCGTGCAGATATTTCCGACAGCCTGAACCATGCAGTCAGCTCCCGGGTTTACGCGCATGCTGAGGCAGTTCGCATGTCTGAGAACGTCAACCGCCACTATAATCGCGCAAACACCATACTGGCCAAGTTGAAGAACCTGCTGGAAAACTATCCGGCAGAGGAACAAAAGAGCCCCGTGGCGACCTCCAAATCTCAGCTTGTCAGAGCGCCACGGGTGATGCGAAATGGAGATGGCGAGAAGGTGCGCAGGCCACGGATACCCAGGATTACTGTGCCAGGCGAAGTACTACCGCCATACGACCAGTTTGTGGCGTACTCGGACGACAGTGATGAGAGCTCTGAAGAGGAAGATGATGATTCTTTGGGACGGACGCCAGCTCGCACAACACCAGCACCGCGCATCAAAGTTGTCAAGACCCCCAAGGCGAGGCCACCAAAGACCCCAAAGGCTGCGTCCTCGGTGCGGCCTCCCAAATCTGCTGCGGGCCTGGCTGCTGCGGCAACTCCTGCTGTTGTGCTGCGACCTCCGCCAGAGAACGCCGTGATAGGAAGCGCGGATGCCCCCTGGTTGCAATTGACGCCATGGGAACTTGCGAGGCTTAGAAAGCGGATGAAGAAGAATGCAACATGGAGTCCCAGTGATACCATGATTTTGCGAGAACTCAAGACGCTCGGCCGTGGCATTGATGCCTACAAGGAGGCAAAAAAGAAGGCCGAGGACGAGGGCAGAGTTTTTGACCAGGTGCCTGCGGCTCTGGCCCCTGATGCTGAAGCCGGTAACAAACCAATTCCGGAAGGTGCCATCAGTGCCGCTGCGCTTGCGTCCGATGATATTCAGCTGAGCAATCGGGGCATGAAGCTCAACGAGGCCAAGAAGCTTAAGCGAGAGTCACTGGCTAAACAGGCTGCAGAAGAGGCGGAAGAATCAGCCAGACAGTTTAGGGAAGCTGCAAGACTTTTGATGTCTCATGAAGCATCGTCATCATCGGCCGCGAACAACACAAACACCACCACCACCACCAACAACAATAACAACAACAACAACAACAATACCACCACCCCCTCTACGGCAAATAATACTACAACCAACACAACTGCAGACCAGCCGAAAGGCGCAAGCAAAGCGAAGACTCCAGCGAAGCCAAAACCCAACGGTAACAAGCGGAAGAGAGATTCTATCCCAGAGGCTGAGGCCGAGAAGCCTGAGCAGCCGCCAGTTGAGACACCAGCGCCTCGTCCCGCTCCAAAGCGCACCAAGACGGAGACTCCAGTGCCGCTTCCTCATCTAAGAGCCAGTCTCGCTGCGCAACCTCTAACAGAGTCTACTATACCACCTCCTGTTCTTACACCAGGCGGTACTGCGGTTACTCCCAAGATGACGACTCCAGTGCCGATTCCTGTTCCCGGACAAGATGGCTCGACGACCACAGGCACTGGCCCTGCGGCTGCGAAGCCAGCGAACACATCCGCGCCGGCCTCTTCGCCGACTGGTTCGGTTGGGCCCCCGGCGTCAGTCGCAAGCACTGCCCCGGCAAGTATACTGACCAAGCTACCCGCGGAGACGCCAATACCGCCACCCATCTTGTCCCCCAAGAAGTCCACCACGCCCATTCTTCCTCCGGTGCGTGACTCTGCAGCTCGAAGGGAAACAAGGGGCGAGATGGCAAAGAAGAATCAGCAGCAACTCGACAACCCCACACCAGTGCCGGCGCCACAGGTTCCGCAGGCACAGCGCTCGTCATCTGCAGCGCCTTCGATCAAACAATCAAGCTCGCGTGCGGCGACACCAGGCACCACACCGGTGCCCGACGGCCAAGGGAGACGTCCCAGCTCGCGAGGAAAAGCTATGAGTCAAGAGCCACAGCCTTCGCTAGCAACTGACCGACCCCGTCGCGCTAGTACCGCGCGGAATACGCCAGCTCCCGAGCAGCGACAGCAGAGCAAGAGGACTAGAAAGCCTGTGCCTGGTATCGTCAGCAAGACCAACGCTGGAGGCAGCAGTGCCGTGGGTAAGCGAAAAGCGGCTCCCAAGAAGAAACGCGCTCAGAAAAAGGAAAAGGGCCAGCCGATCGAGATCGAGTTGGAAGAAGACGACGAGGGTAACCCAATCGACCCGAAAGAGCCACGGTACTGCGACTGCAACAGAGTCAGCTTTGGCGAAATGATTGCGTGCGACAATGAAGTAAGTGTTTTTCGCGTAGCTCGAGGTCTAGGATCACGCTGACAATTGTTCTTTCCTGCGTTCAAAAGATTTGCGATAAGGAATGGTTCCATCTAGAGTGCATGGGTATGACCCATATTCCTGCGCGGACGACAAAGTGGTACTGCCCCGATTGTCGCCTTCGTCTGAACATTGGGGAGAAGGGCGAGATTAATGCTAGGGGAGTCAAGGCTTGAGATGAGGTCCCAGACGCGAGGTACGGCGTTGAATCGAAGGGAGATCACTCAAGCGGTGTTTTTGAGGGTATCTTTTAGGAGCGAGGAGTGAAGGTTGCCAGGGCTCATGATAGGCAAAGAGCCACTGCTGTACATTATTAGTCGTGTGTATCAACAGGATATGAAAGCTGCACCACGGTGTGGCTGTCATGGCATCTGCGATTCTTCCAGTGTCGCGTAGTTGACGATTGCGAGGGAATGTGTGTGGTTGATGCGAATGTACCGACTGCTTTACATATTGCCCTAAATAGCTAAGTAGGCTTCTAGTGCCATGATCGGGCGATGGGGTGGGCTACACGGGACCGTTCGGCACATGCGGGGCCGGCGACTGCTCTGTGTCCGGCTTGAGAACCCTTACTCAATGCAACGAGTAGCCGGTGGTTAGCGTGGCCAGTGCATGAAATCGAATTCTGAAATTCAAAGACATTGCCGCCGGCAGCGCCTTAATCGCGCACATTTCTGGTTAGGCGCTGATTTGTCGGTGAGACCTCGATTCGCCCCGAATTCTACTCAGAACTATCGGATTGTTGCTTGTTGGCGAGATATCAGGGGTTGAGGTATTGAAAGAATGGAAAGTCGAGGTGGTTGATGGTGGTCAGTGCGCACGCGCCTTCCTGGGTTGATGTTGGTGATGTGTATCTGAAGCACCCCCGTGCCTACCTACCTTTTCCAAAATGTTTGCTTTTTTTTTCTATCTCTTTCTCTTTTGGTCCATTTCATCTCAACACCTCTGCGAGTCATCCGAATGCTTCATTCATCCCACAAGTCAAGTCATTCTCTGGTGATCCCTGAGTGCTATATTCAACGGATGCACGTAGCCAGCCGACTTACACACGCCTATTTCGACGCGGTATTCCACATTCTCATACCTCCAAGCCCTTCTACCACCGATCCCTTCTCGAAACAAGCAGGCCCTGAAGATGGGCATTACGTGGTGCGTTCAAGCTGATTCGTATTCGCAGGAGTTCGATTTGACAATCATTTCTACTTGTACTAACCATATCTTGTTAGTTTTTGGGAACTCGTCGACCGAGCCGGCGTCGAGAAATCCTTGGCACAATGGGCCACTGATCACTTGAAGAAACATAAACGACCACTTCGCATCGCTGTCGACGCAGCCCATTGGCAGTCCAAGAATGTCTCTGACGCCCAGGAAGCTGCTATTCAAGAACGTTGGTCGCCCATTTCAGTCAACCCCTCATTACTGCATTGATCTGGTTTACCGATCTTGTCCATTCGTGTACATTCTGCACCATTTTCACTTACACATTTTTGTTTATCTTTGGAGACCCAAGAGAATCCCGAGGCTGACAATTCCGACTAGAATCACCAGGTTCCCACCCACGAGAGAAGGCCATCCTCGAACGTCTGCTACCGTTGATGCGGCTCGGTATCCATGTGGTATTTGTCTTCGACGGCGAACAGCGCCCACAAATCAAGCGGGGCTCCAAACGGTATGGTCAACGAGAGTCGACCACCGCCCTCATAAAGAACACGCTGGATCACATTCTCGTACCTTGGCTCCAGGTACCAGGCGAAGCTGAAGCCGAGTGCGCTTTACTCCAGCAACAAGGTCTCGTCGATGCAGTCTGGTCTGAGGACGGCGATTGCTTCATGTTCGGCTCCACTGTTGTCATTAGAGACCTGCGGGATACCAAGAATCACAAGTTCAAGGAGCATGCGCGAATTTTCGACATGAGAGACATCCGTCGCTTGAAGGCTGGGCTTTACAATAAGAAAAGTGTCGCCTGTTTCGCTATGCTCACTGGCTGCGACTATGCCCCCTCCGGACTCTTAGGCTGCGGGACACGTCTCGCTCAAGAGCTTGTCAAAGACGGTGGCCTTGTCGAGCGCTTCTGGTGTGTCCAGACGCTTCCTCAAGCGAATCAATGGCGAACGCGCTTGAAGAATTCTATTGAGAAAATCACCAGCCTGACAGACCTGCACTTCAACAAGGACAAGTCCAATATCATGACTTTCCCAAATCTTGAGGCCCTCAAGAATTGTCATTCGCCCGCAGTGTCCCCCTCAGACACACTCAAAAGGCTCCCTTTCCTGCAGGGCGAGCGGTATGGCACCCACACAACGAACAGCCTGGCAACCACGATTCCATGGATGCAGCAGTATTACTTTTCGAGAATGACCACTCTCTGGTGGGTCAGGCAGTTCACACCCATGGTATTGAACCAGAGGCTTCTCAAAGGCGAAGTTCAAGCTCTCGACCTCGTCGCCAAGGTCGCACAAAAACGTAAGAGGAGATCAACGAGTTCCATCGAGCTCGATCCCTGTAATGTGTTTCCCGGTATCGAGAATATCTTCATCGAATCCGAGGGAAATCTGTTAGTGAACAGACGGCCAAACGACCGTGAATCGGCGGGCAGTCCGATCGAGAATGGGAAGTTTGACATGCTGGATGCAATTCTAGGGCTTGGGAGGTCCGACGAAGCATACCAGGCGTGGAGGAAGAAAAAGAGGTCACCTCCGGCAGCCAAGATTCATCCGGCATATTCAGCGCAGGCACCTCCAGCTCCTCATATGAGTCTCGGCAGCCGAGTCCCTCTCATGAACTGTTTTCAGGCAAACGGGGGTGTTCTTGAAGACTCAACGGAGCCTCCGAACATCGCCTTTGGTGCTGGTGGTGGAGCTGAAGGCATTCCGCCAGACCTTCTGAAGCTTCAAGAGCAGATTCTTGCGGAATGCCAGGCCAACAAGATTCGAACTCCCGCTATAGAGCCTCGAGGCAATAGTCGCATTGACCAGGGCAAGTCTCCAACTGACAGCAGACATTCTGAAGGATTGATCTCGCCCTTGCTGGTTCACAAGCCTGCCATACCAGCTACTACAAGCCCTTCCGTTCGTTCAATATCCAAAGCTGGAGCACCAACATCTCCCGCTGATATCAGGGACAAACGAATTGCAAAGTTCGAAGTCAAACGGGGCAGCAAAGAGACATCGAGAAGTGCGGGATGTGATGAAAGTATTGCTCTTCTATACGGCAGTGCTTACAGCCTCGACAACGACGATACTCCCTGTGAGTCGACCTCAACCAAGAAGAGAAGGCAGGAGGAAGCCAATGCGGAGGATGTACGAACCGAGGCCCCCGGGGTGAGAGCAAGACGCATGCTCCTTGAGGTTGAGCTGGGCTCCTCTCAGGATTCCATTCGGGCTACCAAGGCGAAAGGAGACGAGCGATGTAAGCCTGCTGTGGTGGATGATGAGACAGGTGCCGCCAGAACGCGTATGAATGGTGACGGCACAGTTGACGATCCATTCGAGGTCTCGTAACGGAGTTTTTCATCTCAAAATTGTCTTCTACGGCTCCAACCTGATCCAGCATGGAACCATGGCGAGCTTATCATCTGATCTCGAGGGGGGCAATAGGTACGGATGGAATGGAGCAACGATATCATGTATAGTAAAAACATTATGACAAGCCAAGCAGCTTGCGCAGAAGAATATCATACCCGAGTTGATGTATTTAAGCGGCCCTCAAGTATAGAATTCAAAAGAGCATGTAGCATTTTAGAGGTAGGGTGAGGTCAACCTTTTGGGTCCCTTTCCGACGGAACTTCCGAGAAACGCATACGTGCAGCGCTCTCATATCATTACCAATCGAATCCAGAGTCCGCCAGGTAGTTCTTAGTGATGGAGAAGACGATGGGCGTGGATTTGCAATAAACCCGGTCAATGGTGTCGCGATTTCCTTCCCGAGGTAAAGGTTCCGAAGCTTTCATCGGGTGCCGCCAGGGCTTCCGGGCCGAAGACTTGTGGGGTGCGCCCCCCCGCCGTCCCGCACTTGGGAACGGGGGACGGATATAAACGTCACCTTGCTTCCTCCCACGTGCTTTGCAATAGTACGCTACTCACAATACATTCACTTCCTTCCTTACCTTGTCACAGAGTATTCCTTTGCAAAATATACGCAAACTCTTGAAGAACGGCTACGATTCCAAACAGTTCGCCAACTAGTAGAAAGGGGACAAGAATGGCCTCCTTTACTGCCACAGAGGGCGTGGAGCCCCGCGACAGCTATTCCACAATGGAACCGTTCTCGGCCAGCGAGACGGCGATGGAGCGGGACCTCCGGCTCCGGATACGGGACTTTTACCGGACCAGCGATAACAAGGACCTGAACGAGCGCTGGATCGAGTTCTACACGCCCGATGCCAAAGTGAAGATTGGCCCGGCAGCAGCAGAGAAGCACGGGAGTGAGTTTTGCTACCCACCTACCCACCCAGCATTGTGCTCTGAGGTATGGGGACGGCTGACGTGTTTTTGTATTTCCAGACCTCCGTCAACTACGGGCGGACATGTGGAGCTCTGTCGCGGCCAGGAAGCACTGGATCACGAGTGCGATCGGCTCCGCTACCGAAAAGGGTGTGCACGTCATGCTCAAGGGGGGAGTTCGGAGGAAGGGGTTGGATGGTGCTGAGAACGTGTTCAGCTGGGCGGGTAGCGCAGACTGGGTGAAGCAGGATGGGGAGTGGCGGATGGATGCATATCGAGTTTGGCTCGACCAGTGGGCTCCTATTGAGGGGGAACTACCTTCGGTGTCAGAGTTTTGAAGTGTGACAAATGACGGCGCTGGCTGAAGCGGAAATATCCAGAATTGAGCAGTGTGTCGAATAGCAATGAGAATTGTATGTGAACCGGAGCAATCCAGCCATTGAGATGTGACAGTCATTCATTGAGCATCGGGCACTTGCCAATTGGCGGCGCAATGCGATTTGTCGCAGCCACCGTGTTTCGGCGATGGCATTGCTCTGCCCGTCTTGAGCAGCGAGCAGATTGGCCTTGAGATCGTCGATGACGGCAGATTCATCCGGTGATGGCTTCGACCTCAGACCGCCCCATGCGCTTGCTTGCGCTTCGACGGCGTAGCGGGCGCGGTTGGCCCCGTGCCTTGCATTCATCGCGCGTCGCCTCGTCCAGGCTTCGTCTCGCGTAGCTACGCCTCATCC